TGGATGGGCTTATTTATAGTGACCTAATTAAAATTTAGGATCCGGAACCGCAGACTCATGTCCACGCTCGAGGCCGGGAGATAAACCCAGTTTGTTTGAACATCTTCAAGGAGGACACCAGAATGATGCAACTCAAATAATGAACTATCCACACCTTACTATGCCCAGATATGGGAGAATGCAAGTATTCTGATCTAGTGGTCAATGGAAAATGTTGAGATATAAGAAGTTAATTCAATCGGAAGAGAAATATAGCGATAAGGGACTCTAGAGAGTACAAATGACGAGGTGGGCACGAGTTCTGAAACAAACACTGATTGAATGAAATAACGCACTTTTAATGAAGATATGGGCTTACAGCTTTATACAAGCATCAGCGAAAATGAAACGCAAGGGAGGCAGTGCATGGAAATATGAGGAAATGTTCGCGTATTGATGATTTTAAACGAGTAGTCGATGTGCATATTTCCCCATAGCCTACCACACCAGACGCTGGTCGATTTTTTCACCAACAAGCAAATGACCCGCCGGGTGAATACGCTCGTAAAGCCAGAATTGGTGAAAGCAAAAAATCAATCTCCGGATTAAAAATGCAGAAAGAACAAAGAATGCCAGTAAAATAAAAATGGGACACAAGCCAGTCAAAACGAATGCAAAACGCGTGCAAAACACGTGTCGTGTCGGTTTCATTTAGAACTGATAAGACAAGAGCCACAGAAGAGGATGATCATATCAAAGACGAGAGTTGTCGAGAGCCAACCAGGAAATAAAAAGAAACCTACAGAAGGCGGGTCCAAAATCCCTATGGCACTGTTATTAAATCTCAGTGCGAGTATTAGGCCTTGTTGAGGATGGAGTACAATAGAAAGGATGTTTTGGATACGTTCTGCGACAATGCTAGCACATGACAATCAGTCGCCTTGTTGGGTTACAGGATGAACGATGCTTAATGAACTAAGGTAACCGTTTCCTCCATCAAATTATCAAATCAGTTAGCAAAAATTTAGATTCATCCATTCTCTGGATTGAACCATATATCGTGTTTCGAAACATCCGCGAACGATTAAAATGTTCTGTAATACACATTCAGGTAAAACGCATTGGCAAGTGTCCTGACTCACATTACGTGTTTATTAAACATTTTTTTTAATTAAACCTGTTTCCCAGATCCAATAGAGATCACGGTGCTGCACAAATCTGTGTCAGACAAAAAATATACCGGTGACCTCGGGTGTGCCGTAGCGTTGGTAGATCAGCAAATCGCAATACGCAGAACCTCCAAGACGCCAATTATGACGTAGATTGTAAAGCGAGTTTCATTACGCTGCATATGATATTTGGTAAATGCACACCTTATAGGCTAAATCCATTCCTGAGGTCGCGTTTTCCAGTTCGATATGGACCGATTTCCAACCGGAATCGCTGGTTTCTACATGTGACGTCCACAATTCTCGATTGTGACATGTGACTGCAGAAAGACCCTGCCCAGCATCATGTTGTTTCACACATGCCCTGTAGAGCATTTGAAATTTGAGATAGAAAAATGCAGATCAAAGGTACGCAAGCAATCGAAATATTGATTACTGAAAAACTACTAAAGGAAAAGTAAACCGGAATAATCAGAAGTACAGTGGTTGAAAGACACATTGAAGGAATATTGGGAGGTGCGTGAGAATCACCTTAAACGCGGTGATATCTTCCTCGGGAGTGGGCAAATCGATAGTAATCGTGCGCCACGAACGTCCCATTGTAGTATCCTCGATTGGTGAAGTCCACAACTGAGCACCATCGCAGGAAATAACAAATCGTCCATTTTGCGGATTGATTTTCTTGGTGCAATCGCTATGCAGATATGTGGTGCAAATGAACGATAAAACATTGAATTAAATATTAACCCTGGTTCTCGTTCGTTGCGATTCGGAATGAAAGCAGGAATGAACTGCAGCAAAAAAAAGATTAATGATAATCGAATACCGATGGCAGCACCATGATCGTGTTGAAAACGAAACTTAGGGGTTAGAGCGCGGACAGCTTGGCCAAAGCGAACTAGGTGACGCGTGATAGCAGGTGTGCGTGCCGTGCGGACAGTGGTTTTGGAAAACACGGTGGAGAGATGTCCTTCCAAAATGACTAGAGTCAGCTGAAATCGAGTGCCTCGCGATGAAAAAAACATCCATAGGAAAATTGACGATCAGTGATGCACCACTCTCTGATGGATGATTAGTGAATAGATTACTCCAGGTGTTTATGTGAGATTAATACTAGTCAACAAGTGCAGTGATAGTGGCGCGATAAATCAATGATAACTGGTCAAACGTCTCTAAAGAGATCGACCAATGAA